TTTCATGCTCAGATGTTTCTGACACAATTTCTTTCCCATTCCCTGCTGTGTGAGTGAGGCTGGCAGACTACAGGAATCTAAAGGCTTAGATTGTTCTTTTCTATCACAGCTGGTGCATATTCAAAATGAAAACCCGCCTGGGTATTTCCAAGGACAATATCCTTTTCATGACGAGGCTGGAGTAATCTGTTCTTTAGTAGAAATGACCTCTGTTTTCATGGCCTCATAACTGAGCAGTTTCATGATTTGATACATTCTTTTGAGATCAGAAATATCTGTCACAGATCTTTTCTGAAGATTAGGGCAATAAGCAACCTAGAAGTCTCTGATCTTCAAAGGAAACTACAAATGACTCCAAGGTCACTAAGAAAAAGTTAGCACAATCAGGAAAAAAAAAAAAAAAGACTGATGCTTCATCTGATTGATTCTTGTTTTTGAATTTTTAATGAAATAAATATTTCAAAATGACTTTTCCATTTCAAAATAAATCTATAAAGGCAGATGTCTATTTCACCTAAACAAAACTCAAGGTAACATTGGTTACCTTGAGGAAACAAAAGGTAGAACATAACCATATAGATTTTGTTTTAAATTGTACAATATTAGATAACGACTGCTTTGATTATGTCATTTATGTTTAGTATTAGTAGCTGCCACTTACTGCCTACTCTGTGCCCAACTTCACATACAACATAGTAGGTTCACTACATGTGCAGGCTCTAAAGTCAGACTGCCTAAATTTAAATGCACACCATTTACCACCTGTGTCATCTCAATGAAATTATTGAACTCTATTTGTTCATTTGAACACTGAGGATAACAATAGTATTGACATCAGAGGACTGTTTGAAGATTAAATGAACATGATACCATAGGTACTCAATATGTATTAACAATTGCTATTATTTCACTGGAAGCATGTAATCAAAGAGGCCACATTTCACTCTCATTTTATAGGAGGGAATATAAAATAAAAGAAGTTAGCACCTAGATCAACTTCAGCCCTGTTAAACACCTCAGATCTCCATCTTTATCCACTACAACATACTATATTTGTTAAATACATTGGGAACTTCATAAATAAGTTATGTATGCCTGAAATTACAAATATTTCCCTAAAAAGTCATTAGTTTGTCATTACAGTTGCCAGATTCAGTGCTGAAGGGCTCAGAAGGACTTAGGATGAGATTCCCTCCTACAGGAATTTCCAGTTCATATACACGATCAGTTATGAGAAGAATTTGAATATAAAGATTTGGAACCTTGCAATTAAGCAAGAAAAAAGCCTCAGAGTATTTCTAACAAACAATGTGTGTAGCTGACTTTTTTTTCTTTTTCTTGATGGGGTGGGGAGCAATGATTCCATGTCTACAAAAGAAAATTGCTATTGAGATTTTAAGTTCATATAGGCTTAATAGTCTGATTTTACATACATGTTGAGGTTATGGAGACAAAACTAAACCTACGTGAATTTTGACTACTTAATGTAGAACCAGTATTGTGCTTTGTCTAGTTGGTACAATGGTAGGCTGTTAGGGCACAGAACATAGTAATAATCACAGTAAGTGTGCTAGGGAACTAGTATATGAATTTCCTAGATCAATGACTCTCATTTGCTACCTTTTGTCATTTAATTCCAATGAAAATTACAATTTGCCTAGGAAGAGACCTCGTTTTTTTTAATGGCAATCTTTAAAAGTTTTCTTTTTATGTTATCTATATTATTCAAAGTTTGTTTTCCTTTTAAAAAATAATAATCCTTTGAGAAGAGCTGGAAATTTTATTTTCGTTTGATAGTGTGCCAAGCAGAAAATCTACCATCATCAATTTTCTTTCCAATAAAAGATGATGCTTGGGGTGGTAGATTTAAATTCCCAGGCTTACCTCAGTTTTTATGAGATCCTAAAATGCTACCACACAAAATCTGTTCTACAGTGGGTTGAGATGAATTTTTAATCCATGACAAGAGTACAAATTAACCCATATATAATGATAAACAAGGAGAAAGAGAACTTGAAAATCAGAGAAGAGGATTTATGATTTGAGGGCATGTGTACATAAAGTTGAAGACTGTGGCCCTTCCAAAAAACATTAAGGGAACAAGCAGCAGTCCATATACTTTTCCACTCCCAATTACACATTCTTGAGAAGGCTGAGACTCATTTGGAAAAAAATTAAGTCACAGTTGCTCTCATACATTTTTCTCAAAATTTTAACAGTTCACACAGTTCTTTAAGAATCCATAAACATATTCTCCCTATAAAAGGTACATGAACACAAAACTTTCAAATAATATCAAAAGGCATTAAAGATCACTTGAAACCTATTTATGGATACAGAGGACCCAGATTAAGAACAATATGGAGCTGGAGAGATGGCTCAGCAGTTAAGAGCACCGGCTGCTCTTGCAGAGGATCTGAGTTCCATTCTGAGCACCCATATTGCAGCTAACAACCATCCGTAACTCAGGTTCCAGGATATGTGACCCCCTCCTCTGCAGGCATTGCACAACACAGGTGCACTTACATGCATGCAAGCAATACACTCATCCACATAAGGAAATAAAACAAAACAAAACAACTTTCTCATGAGACATAGCCTTAGAACGACTTACTGGATTCTTTCCAATGAGAAACATATTTCTTTGAATGTGCTAAGATAGGCACCTAGAGCAATGTTTGTTAAAGTTTTACAAGTTTTATTTATTTGTGTGGTTGCTTTGTGTTTCAGTGTTCAATGCTCTGGAGCACTTCAGATTTTCAGGTTGGAGATTCGAAGCTTGTATTTGGTGAGGGATGTCCCTGAGATTATTTCAAGGAGGTACATGAGAGTCTTTCTTTGCCAATTTATATATCTGTGAGTCTGTTTTTCTTAATATACTTCAACAAAACAACGTTAACAGATTGGACACAGAAGCAGATACAAGAATCCTGCTGTTTTTAGGCAGATATTGAGATTTGCAAAGAGAGAAACCATGCCACTTTTCTATTTGTGTCAGAAAATAATATAAATTTGTATTTTTAAAATAAAAAATATTGAAAAGTTTTAATTTCTAAATAGTAGTATCAATGGATATGATCCACATGAAGTCCTCATTAAATTTTAAGGATGCTAAAGGGGCTTGGATACCAAAAAGCTTCATAGAGAAGCTGAGCAGGAGTGGTGGATGGGTGGCAATGAAAGGACTGTCAGTTTTATATAGGCACTGTCTCCTCTTGAGAGAGTTCCTTGAATGGTACTAGATGGGGTGGGGAACGGATGCAGACCAATCTACTTTGTCTCTTGGCTTGTGGTCTGACCCAAACACAGCTGTTATGGCAGCACAATTAACAGAGATTTCAAGAAAAAAGCAAGTGGAGTTAAAACAAGGAATGACATCTGTAGACTGTTGAATCAAGGACACAAAGACTGCTTTCTCTACAGAGAATGGAATGCATTTTCGGAGTTCAGGATTTTTGCTTCTTGTCAGCTTATAAAAGATTTATTGTGTTAGATTTATTATTTTATGTGAATGAGTGTAATGCCTACATGTCTGTAAGGGCACCCGTGTTGTGCAATGTCCACAGAGGTAAGAAGAGGTGTCAGATCCCCTAGAACTGGAGTTATGGACGGTTGTCGGCCACCATGTGAGTGATGGGAACTGACGGTCCTCTGCAAGAGCAGCCAGTGCCCTTAACTGATGAGCCATCTCTCTAGCCCCAACTGTTAAATTTTGTAATTCTTCTCAATAAAGTTTTTCTTTTATCTTCTGTAATACAATTTTGGGAGGGGATGTTAACGGGGTCAAATAGGCAGAAGATGCAGGAAAAGCCTAACTACTCCTTATATTAGGCATATGTTAAAATTTAGCATTTATTACGACGCATTAAGCATTGTGCTCAACCTTCCTGCAGCACGCTGGAAAAGTCTTAGGAATAGGAAAACAAAAACAGTTGCAAACGATTTACTTGCTACCTTGTTTTGGGGTAACTTAACCTCTCCAAGTCTCATTAACTTATCTAAAACGTAGATGATAATATTTCTCTCACAGTGTTGTTAGAGATTAAAGAGATTATCTGTGTCAACAGGATAGCAGTGTATTGCGGGTCCTCAATGAATAGCCAACAGTGCCTGTAAAGGGCACCAAAAATCTATCATAAGATAATTCCTTGTAGACCAAACACTTTTAAAACACGAAGCAGAAGGTATGGTGTCTCAGTGTCGCTACAGACATATTTAGAGGTGTATTCCGGAGATCTAAGGAAAAGAGAAGGTCATACTTGGAGAGATCCTTCGTACTCTCCGACCCCGGGGTCTACCCCAGCAACCCGGCATCCGAGGCCAGCGGAGCCCCGATCCCGCCGGGGTCAACCCCCCTGCGGCTTCCCTTCCAGCCCCCTGGGACTTAGTCCCAGCACCTTCAGCACAGGGTCCACACCGGGCTGCCCACGTGGACCCACAACCCGCCCGCTGCCCTAGGGGCGTACCAACCCCAGCCCCAAGCACAGCCGCAGATCCTAAGTGGGGCAAGCGGAGTGGGGGTGAGGCACAGGAAGGAACTTCCAAGTTCTCAGCCTCCAACCACCCACTTTTCCCCACGCGTGGCCGCCTTAGTCTCGCTTCTCCCTTAGGGGAGCCCAGCACAGAGGCCCCCCGACTACAGAACAGCTCCGCCAGAGCGCCCCAGCTTCCCAGCTCCGGGAACCCCAGCCCCGGCGTTCGAGCGCTCGCTCATCGATTGGCACTGTCTCGCTCCTCCGACTCCAGTGGTTCCCGGAGCCTCAGAGAGTCCAGCCGAGCGCGGGGCGGGAACCAAGGCAGGCAGGCCAGGGGATCGCCGATCGCACGGATGAGCGCGGGTGCCGGCTCCGTCTGGCGGGTGGCGGCGCCGGCTCGCCTGTACAGCGCGAGGTCTGAGCCCGGCGTTCAGCGCCCTCGTCGTCTCGCGCCGGCGAGTACGCCGCGTGTCCCCGTCCCCCAGGAAGGCCACCCCGCGTGGGGCTGGTGCGGCGGAGGCCGCGCCGCTTGGAGGGAGTGCGCGCGGGCGGCCTCGCCCTTCCCCCTCCGCCACCGCGGAGCGCGCAGGGAGCAGCCGGGGGCTCGGCGGCGGCGTCTGGCCCCAGCTCCTCCTCCTCCTCCTCCATCTCCAGCTCCTTCCATCTGCTGTGGTTATGGCCCGTCGCTGGAGCACAAAAGAGTGTCTGCGGCGGGGATCGGCGTGGCTCGTGCTTTTCCTTGCCGGGGTGTACGGTAAGTGTCCCGCTCCCCTCGTCCCGCTGACGGAACAAAGCTGGGGCAACCCCGGGGACCGCCAGGCCTCCCGGACCCGCTTCGCCTGGGGGACCCTCGGGGACACCCCTGTCGCTGGCGGGACAAAGAGCGGCGCGGTGCGGCGGGAGGGCTATCCCCGCGCCGAGGTGCTGAGTCCGCTCGCTCTCCGCCAGCCCCTGAGGCGTGGGAGAAGATTCGGGGTCCGGGTCGGGGTCCCCCCGGCGTACTGACAGACTTCCCGAGTCAGGCGCCCGGGCCCCAGCGGGCCGCTGCTCCAGCACTCGCTGCCGGGCACACCGGTCCTCACGCACAAAGACGTGGGACCGTGGGACTGAGGAAAGGGAGGTCGCCGGCGGGACGGTCCTGCCATCACCCCCCCCCCCCCCCCCCCCAGCCCCCAGCCCTTCCGGAGTCTGGAAGTTCTCAGTGAAATGGCCATCGCGCTGGTCCCTTTGGTCCCCGCTGCCTGCCAAAGCACCTCGCCAGCTGCTTTCTTCCCAACCCTCCACCGCGGTGCCCCAGGCTCTGTGGGTTCCGGGCGTGTAGAATCTTGCTGTTCCCCAGTAGCTGCACGCGGGAAAAGGCCAGAAAATAGTTTCCAGCCCCACCTCAGTCTTAACCTCTTGGAGCGTACATGTCTGCCCTGACTCGTAGTTCAGTTGTCGTTTTATCCACGTCCTCCACTGCTGTTGTCAGTTGCCTTATTCCAGGCTGTGGATCTGGTTAGGGGTATTCCGTTCTGGTTAGGAGAAGGCTGACCGATGACTGTGGCAGGACTGGGCTTTATACTGTATTGTTTAGAACTAGAGCCAAGTGGAATTAACTAGAAGACATTTTCATCACTTGAGACCTGAGCTCCGCCTCAACTTCATTCTTAGTTCATCAGTTAACTCCTTGAATAGGTGTTTCAGAAAACAGAGTTCATTTTTCCATTTTGCAGTGTTGCTTTGTTATATCCAGAAAAAACAATTAGAAGTTACCACTCTTTGGTAAATTTTACTGATTGAAAACCCTAACTCATTTTCCACATATACTGATTCACTAGTATAATGGTGGTGGTACTTGGTGCTAGAATGCTTTTAACATATAATTCCCCAACAAGGATCATCCCTTTTAAAAGCATTACCTGTGGAATTGAATATGATGGTGACTTTCAAAGCCTGAGAATTCATGCTACTTGAAAAATATAATGGACTTAAATTGGCATTTACTGACAGCCAAGAAATAGTAATCTTTTCAGTGTAATTCAGGGTGTGTTGCTCACCTATCTGAGTATTGTTTTTGTTCCAGGGAGGAGGGTGGTTTGATTCACATTTGGTGTAGCAATTGCCAATGTTGTCCTTGTGTGGGACCAGAAAACCCAGCCCATGACTTTTGATTGTTAGTTGCATCAAGTGGCTGCAAACCCTGCTAGACTGATGACTTGTGGGTTTGGGTCTACACAGAAATCAATAAGCAATTCTGTTGTTTCTTCTAACCGGGAGGTGAGTATAGTTTTGCTCCAGGTTTGGTATAATGGCCCAGGAGAAAGGAAAGTGAGAGGAATCTTTAATCTAGGGTGATTAGGACTGTCCAGTTATATATGTTCTGCACCATAATCAGAATTGAATTTTGACATCTTGAAAGGTAACCTGCAGCTGTAATAGTTACATATCATACATATGTATCAACACATACATCTATGTTGTCTGATCAGACTAGATAAATAGACTCTTTACCTATGCCATTAGTGTTTGAACTAAAAATCTTTTGCCTTTAGGGATAAAAGTCTGAAAACCCATATTTGTCTTGGTGTGTTCTTTTGTACTAATATAGTGGCTTTCTGGTGGTGCTTCCCTTTTGAGTATGTTCAGTGAGGTGTGGTTAGTAAAGACTGAAACTCCCTTTTCCAATGTTGTGGGACTACATTTATAAAACTAGCAGGTTGGGGCTCAAGAGATGGCTCAGCGGTTAAGAACACTGACTTCTTGCAGAAGACCCAGGTTCAAATCCCAGCCCCACATGACAGCTAACAACTGTCTGTACTCCAGTTCCAGGGGATCCGACAGCCTCTTCTGTCCTGCGTGGGCATTGCACGACACAGGTGCACTTACCTACATGCATGCAATACATACACACACATTAAATAAATATAATAAAATATTTTTAAAAAACCTAACAGGTGATTATGCCAAAGGTTGATGTTTCAAGCGACACAGTTTCAAAGTATAAGAAAATAGTAGGCAGCGAGCTGGGAAGAACATTAAGCTGTATTGGCAGAGATTAAAAACAACAAACAAACAAACAAAGCCGGGCGTGGTGGCGCACACCTTTAATCCCAGCATTTGGGAGGCAGAGGCAGGCGGATCTCTGGGAGTTCGAGGCCAATCTGGTCTGCATAGCAAATCCAGGCCAGCTGGGGCTACAGGGAGACCCTGTCTCAAAAAGGCCAAAAAACAAAACAAAAACCTTCACCCTGAAGCTGGAGAAATTCTCCATACATCTGAATTTATGTGTGTTTGTGTGTATGTATGCGCATGTACACATTTTTCATCTCATCTAGATGTGGGTTATATTAGTGAAAAAATCTGTAACAATACTTAGGATATGTACTTGCATAAGAACAGTGAGGTGTGGATGAGTGGACTATGTCGTATTTATGTATAATGGGTACATTCTGAAAGAGCCACGGCCTATTAAGAACAAACATTGGCTGTAATTTATGCAAGCGAATTTGAGTATTTTTTAAATTATTTATTTAATACACATGATTAGAAGAAGCATTTCATTACAACATTAACATGTTCAATAACAATTTCCAGAGCAAAGATGCATCTCTTTCAAAAGTGGCTGTAAATTTTTAGGTTCACAGTTGAATTAATACAGTTATACAATATTGAACTCAGTATAAAACCTGTAAGACATAAAATTGAATGAGGTCTTAACTTTTTAAAAAGATCCCCATTTCATTTAAAAATACACTGTTTCATACAGAAAAACGTATTTTTAATGCTACTAACACTTAGATGTTTGCACATGCATCTCTAATCTTTATCTGATTATTACTAGCCAAAGTTGGTTACACTCAGATCCTTGGCACCTGAGTATGAATATAAAGTCATCAGGTAGATTTCAGAGGTAATGTTTTTCACCTCTACTAATTAACATGAAGCAAATTTTTATGCTTCTTCCTCAAGTATAACTCACTTTTTACTTGTTGATTTTCTTGATGTATTTCATACAGAACATCCCAAACAATCTTATTCATGGCACCCTCCCATAGCCTCCCCCCCACACATGCACACACTGGAGGCCATATACCCTGTCATCCCTGTTACTGTCCACTGTATTATTGGCACCCCCAGCCGTTCCCCAGTGCTTGTCCATCCACTGAATCCAGTCAGCCTATCTAGAGTTCCTTGTTTTAGGAAGATCAGCTCTTCCTCATCTAGCAGCAATCAGTTGCCAATATTCCTTTAGATATGATTGGGGTCTGCTGTTCATTTTCCCAGTTCTATGCTGGGTTACGGTCTGGAAGTTGAATTTGAGTATTTTTAAAGAAAGTAGTTTGGTGATTGGAGAGATGGTTCAGTCGATAAAGAGCTTAGACATGAATTCCATCCCTAAGGACCATATAAAAAGTTGAGCAGGGTGCACACACTTGTAATCCCAGCACTGGGGAAGAAGAGACTAGGCCAGCCAGCCTGGTCTACTTGCCTATCTCCCGACCAGTGAGAGACCCTGTCTTAAGGTAAAGATGGGCAGTATCTGATGAGCAAAACTGAGGCTGTCCTCTGACCTTCACACATACCTATACAAATATAAACATACACAAAGTATTTCCCACTCTTTGGACAGGGTCTTCCTGTATCCCCAGCCAGGCCTGGAACTCACTGTGTAGACCAGGCTGGCTTCAATCTCAGAGAGCCACCTGTCTTCCTCCCAAGTGCTGGATTAAAGGCATGTTCCACTATGCCTGTAATACAAGTTTGTTTGTTTTTTTTAAGTGGCTTCAAAAATAAGTAGAGGGCCAATGAGATGGCTCAGTAAATAAAGGCTCTTGCTGCGTAGTCTGGTGACTTGATTCAATCCCTAGAATGGAGAGGTTGAACGAGAGAACCAACTCCACAAAGCTATCATCTCACCTCCACATGTGCTCTGTGGCCCTTGCACACCTGCACGTAAATGCCATGCACACACAAATAAATATAATTAGAAAACTGTGTAAAACAACAGGATACTAGGAATAACTCTTAAGAGGTTAGATTTTCTTAGCCAGTTCTCGGGGAATTCCAACACTAATTATTTACAAAGTTACTCTTGCCTATTAAAACTGTAACAATGAATCTCTGAAACAGTTCATATACCTTTTAAAAATCCTTATTTGGTGTTTAGACTCTTCACATGACCTTTAATTTTCAAGTGAACTATGTATGATATGTAACTATTACAGCTGCAGGTTACCTTTCAAGATGTCAAAGTCTCATTTGAACTTTAAATTGTATAAAAGTATACGGTGGGTTTAGATTTTACAATAGCCTACAGTTAGTGTTTTCTGAGGTAGTTATCCTTGGACCAGTAATTACCTTTCGGGAGCTGCTATGCCTTAACAGCTTTGAGTGTGCCTAAGAGCAGATGAAAATAAAGGCTGGGCTGTGCTTTCTTTGGAAGCTTAAAGGAATAAGAACATTAGTGGTGGCATTCCAGAGATTTGCAGGGTATTATCCTGTCTACTGTCAGGGGAGAAAGTGCTGCTCAGTTTCTCACCGTTGATGTTTTCCTTTCTCAAGTGTGTGGAAGTTCCAAAAATCTTTCTCTTCCAATCATTGGAACGTGTTAGGTCTTGATTCTCCCCCAAACCAATTTGGCAATTGTTATTACCATTACTTTATCCTTTCCTGTCTTCCAGATCAGTGCTTTCTAACTTTCACTCAGTCTTATTCATGAAGTACATTTCACCTTGCTTTCTTGATATATATAGAGAAGGAAGCAGAGATCAA